GTCTGAACAATAATACGACAGCGTATTGTAGGTTAATAAATAAATGAAACCGTAGACTCGTTAGGAGGGTAATATTCAGAGAAAATAACTCAATCCTATGAGATCAATGTGGTAAATTTACAAGAAAAAAAACTTGAATATTCTCTCAGATTATTAAGTCATAAATTTATGAGGCAAAACTCTTAAAAATAGTGAAAAATAACCACAAAGTAACATCGGAATAAACATAGTAAGAGAAGAGAAGATATAAAAAGATATGTAGAATACATCTGTTATTTTAAGATAAGAGAAGCTGAACAGTGTTTGAAACAAAGAGGCTCGAAGGTGCAAATGGTCACAGTATGAAGTATAACGAATACGTGCAACTTGCAAAGATAATAACTCAAACTATTGTGTGCTATTGTAACGCATTGAGTCTAATGTAGAACATTTTATGGTTAGAGGAGAGCTGTAACTGTCCAACTCTACTCACAGTTTCTGTTCAGTTCGATATATCCGGGATCCTCGACGGTTTTTGCAAATTGCTCCGCAGCACCGACACTAAACAGTCAGTCATGTTTTAAATGAATGATCAGGTCGAGTGTCAGTCTGTGCTGCCGCTCCAGTCGGAGAGGAAGAGATAAACAGCAATGAGAGAAGAGGAGTGAAGATTTGTGGGGAAATCAACACAAAAACAGAAGAAGACAGAAGACGGAGAGCTCCGATAGATCAAAGGCCACAATAATGAATATTCAGCACATTCTTCACAGAGTCACATCCCAGATGCTTTATTCATGGCGCTTCACGCCTCCTCCCTCGCTTGTTGTAGCTCCTTGTCGTGAGCGATAGCTCTATAGTGCCTCCTAGTGGCTCATAGAAGGTGTTTAAAATCACTAGTCTTCTTCCACCCTGCAGGACTCAGTTGAAATAATGTATTTTAATGTATATTCAGACAATGCTGCTCAGGAGGTCCTGGAAACGATCCACTAAGGTAAATCATCATCATCATCATCATCATCATCATCGTCGTCGTCGTCGTCGTCATCATTGTCGTCACAGCTCTCCATGTTCTGACATCTTCTCTGATCGCCTGTTTTATTTTGTTTTTGTTTGTTATTTTAATATCAAGGCTTCATTTGACTGTTTTGTGTTTAAGTTTTTTATGCCGTTTTTTTAAAATAGGCGTCAAACATGTTGTGTATCCTGCTCCTTAAATCACTATGTTTACATGCACAAAATATTCAGCTTTTTTGAGCTTATTCCAAAAAAGACAATTCTGAAAGTTTTTAAATATTGTTGCTGTTTGTCGCAAACGACTGAGACGTATCGTCTGAATTCACTGTATACGGGTCCAAAGAATGCTCCCAATAATATCCCACACGTCTTCATAAGAAAACGTCCCATTCAGAATATCCAAATGGAATATGATGTTTACATGTCCTGTATCATATTATTCATATATTCAAAATATTGTCGCATTCGAATATTGTTGAAATACTGTTTAACATCCTGGATACTGTGACGTAATCAGGCTAACGTCACGCTATCAGGCTAACATCACGCTATCAGGCTAACATCACGCTATCAGGCTAACATCACGCTATCAGGCTATCAGAAATTTAATTTAGCCTCATCATTCAAATCAATCAGGGTCCTGCATGTTGTGCTTCTTCCTAATATGTGATAAATAAAGCTCAGTGTGTGTGTGTGTGTGTGTGTGTGTGTGTGTGTGTGTGT